CGGATAATTTGCGGATTCACTTTCATTTACTTAGAAAAGTTCAACTAAAGAACACTTAAATTTTGTAATCGAAATAAATTCAGTACTGTTGTGTAATAAAATCAAATTTTACCTTTTCAAATATAAAACAAACAAAAAATTACTTCATATTTCTCACGGAACCATCTGGTGGCGAAACGGAATTTGTCGGGTTTGCTAGTATATATATATATATATATATATATAATAATATATAAATTAATGTGTGTATATACCCACCCATTGTTTTTTTTCGCTGGGACATTTTAATAAAGTAACTTCCACTGAAAATGCGTAATTTTTTCCAACTTCTGTTCCTTGACAGCTATTTATTTCTCGCATAGGCGCACTATCGTCTCCGCAATTTGTAAAATATCTGACACTCAAGAAAGAGTTGGCATCATCAATAAATGTAGCCGAAGAGATAGCCTTTTTATAACCTATAACATAAATGAAGATAAATTATCAAGGGGCAGAACATTTTTAGTTTTCAAGATCTTGTTTCACTTTTTAGTTACTATGCTAGTAGTTTTTAGTTACTAAATAACTAGTAGAAGGCAACTTAATGGTTATCTTTTGAAGTTGTGATTATATTTTCACATTCTGCAGATTAGTATCATTCAATTAACTTTTTTCGCCAGAAATGTTACTTTTACTTTATGGAAACATAAATTTGATATATATTTTCAAATAAAAATGGATATTACTACTTCTTGATGTCAGGTTGCACAACTCGAAACCTTGCTCCACAACACCCCATATTTATAATTTGTCTTTAAAATATTAATAGCTTTTGAATTAATGTACCTATAGAAAAGAATTATATAGTATCGTATTATTAATTTTTATGCTGTATTAAGTAAAGTTAATATTTGGAAGAAAAAACATAAGTTCAAATGATAAAACCTCGCTGCCCATTCGCATATAAATACATAGTTTAACAAACTAGAAAAATTAATTATTGTCATGGCGTATATTGTTTGAGAATCTACCTATAACTATCACTATCCATGCAAAAAAATATTTACCATCCTCGACCAGATCCAAAATGTTTGAACTATCATTTTTTAGAAGTGCCACAGACGTATGTTGAGGCATCAGTTTATGAGGCATCAAATAAGTATCATATATGTGTGCGGTTACAGCAAAAATGACAAAAACCTTGTCTTTAATTAGAGCCCGGTGAACGCATGCCAAGGATGGATAATCTGTGTCCACTTTGTGATATGTCCCTTTATCCAAATAACAAGATGCGCAATCGTTTTTACGTACTGCTCCACCTGAGAATAGAAATAGTTATATGAGACACATGGTTTTATTAACTTAAATGCTTTTATTGCTTCTGGCAAATTTAGTTTTATAATAATTATATAAACTCTGAAATTGATTCTGGAGATGGTACAGAAAAACTGAACTTTTTATTAAAATATATATAAGAAAAATATATAAAACTAGTTGGTATTCGTATTTTGCTTTGAGGCAAGTTACATGAACTTCCCGATATATGTAAATAATCAACTTAATCAATAAAATATAAATTAATTTATGATTGATTAAATGTACTCCGAGTGGATTTATTACACCTAATTGAAAACGAACGAATACTCTATCGTTATACCAAGTGAATCGTCTAATTTTAATTTTAACAAACGTCAAAAAAACTACTCATTTTTTCAAATTTTGATGAATTTTTAAAATTAAACTAAATAATACGTCGTAATACTTCAGTAAGTTCTATAAGACCATGATATATATCGCCAAAAATTTTCATAAAAATCGGCTTCTATTTTTTTTCAACAGTTAATTACAAGAAAACAGCTCGGTAGATTTTCACCTAAAACTAATCAGTATCATTCCTAACTAATATTTTTCGAAGAGGTTTTGATTTTTTAAAATCGATTCGATAGTATGAGCTTAAATGTAGACGAAACGTTTAACACTTTTTCCAAATTACAAAGAAACGACATGGTCGATCGCTGCACAAACCTGAGAACAGATAATCCACCTCAAAATGCATCGATTGGCTTTTAAATTTTTGATATCGGTTCAGGCATTTTTGAGCAAACGTCAATGAAAGTTCTAATTTTGACAAATGCCAAAAAACGATACTAATTTTTGCAAACTTAGACGAACGACTTGCCGTAGGGCCATAATATTTTAATATGATCTATAAGACTATGGTATCTACTGCCAAAAAAATAATAAAAATCGTCAAAAAAAATTAACACTTTATTACAAGAAAACGGCCCGGCCGATCTTTACAAAAACTAATCAGCACGATTCCCAACCAATATCTTTCGAACAGTTTTTGATTCATTCATTTTCAAAATCGATTCAGAATTTCGGCTAAAATGTGGACGAAATATTTTTCAATTTTCTGCGATTTACAAAGAGACGGCTTGGCCGATCGTCGCGCAACACTGACAAAGGATAGTCCTCATCGAGATACATCGAATGGCTTTTAAATTTTTGAAATCGGTCCAGCCGTTTTTCAGAAAACGTCGATCTACGGCAAAAAATCTGTTCACATACACGCACACACGTACACACACATACTTTTTTCCAAATTTGGTCTCATTCGATTCAGAATGACCTGAAACGTCGAGAAAACATAAAATTAGCGAATCGGATTTTTTGATGAATACATGAACTTCTCCTTCGGAAAGTTAAACACAATTTTAGGTAGCATAAACAGATTTTTTAGAAATATTTTATAGATATAAATTACAATTTGTCTATTTCTTGAAAACTTTTATTGATTTCGTAATTGTTTGGTTAGATTCTGACAGAGGGCTCTTAGAAAGCAATCTAATTGATGTCCTTGATTTCTGTGATTATAATTTTTAAATCAACTCAGTTTTTTTGACTGAAGTTTTTTACATTCCCGCAAGATCCATTTTCACATGAAATCATTTTTATTATCTATATTTTCAAGTGAATATTGATATCAATACTGCTTAACATAACATTGCAAGCAACGCGGAATTTGAACTCAAAACCTTATACTACTTGCAAATTGCAAAATCAAGGTTTTACCACGGTGTCGCAAAGCGCAAACACCCTATCATTGAAAATATAATACAATTTCACAAATTTCCTCATTTTAGACATTTAGAAAATGATTACAATTTTACCCAGCAGTCCTTCGCCTGCAATGTGCATTAATCCATTGGAAGCGTAAATGACGATTTTCGTCGAGTTTTCTCGCCAGCCGACATTGCCCTTACAGACAATCGCTTGAGTTAGTGCCGATAGACCGCCTTCGAGGTCATCAAGATTTCCTGTCACTTCAGCATCTTTCACCTAAGTCGTAAATAATTAGATATAAACAGGGAAAATTATGTACTTAACCCTATTCGCTACCAGTTTTGCCTTTAGACGACATTCATTGTGTCGAACATTGCTCTGACCTCTAAATTTATTAGTCTAATTATAAGTTAAGATTGTAAATTCTAATTTGTTACTGTAATTGTTAGTAGTTTAATTTTTAATTTTTAAATACATTTTAATAATACGTATATCATTAAAACAAATATTGATCAAAAAATTGTATAATATGGTATGTTACAAATATTTGGACGGCTTGCAGGCCTGTAAAGCAGTGTCAGACCGTAGCAAAAGATTAACATCACCTTTTTATAATAATAAAATGATTATTTAATTTCATACTTAAATTTGGATGGTAAATAATAACAAATTTTATGACATAATTGAAGATTTTCCACGAGGTGGAAAGAGGTTTCCAAGAAGGTGTTATACTATATAATTTACATAAAACCAAATTAAAAAAAAAAACATTTTGAAAATTAAAACCAGAAAAAAATATGAATATATAATTTAAAACTTTTAATTCTAAAGTGTCAAGGTTAATTGGTGTTCGGTTTGTAAAAGAATGACCCATATATGGCCATTATAAATATATAAAAAAGAGTAAAAATGATTAATTACCTTGTCTGAAAATTCTGTAAAATTTGTCGTTAATTTCAAATGGTGCTTGAATTCATATGAAGGTGAGCATTCTTTGCCAATTTTTATGCAAGGATTTTGCAGTGGTACTTTTGCAATTGAAGTATACGGCAACACTGTCTTGTCGGCAAAACTGCCAAAAGCAATCCTGTGCATTAAAGAGTAAACTAGCTGTAAGTGGAATTCTGTCTTAAGGCAATTAGGGCATCGTGCCTTAAGGCAAATTGCTGGAACTTCCCGTACCAAAAATTATTATTTTTTTTTAAAACGATTAACATTTTTGAAAAAAAATTACTTTGAAAAAATAAGATTTTTGAGAAACTATAAATTGGACAAAAAATTAGTTTTTTTGAAAAAAAAAAATTTTTTTTTTTAAATTTTTTTTGAAAAAAATTTTTTTTTTCTTTATTTTGACATATTGTGGATGATCTGAACTTTTTTTTCAAAGCAATCGTACTGCTTTAACTACATAGGGACAAAATATAAAGCGCGTAAGCGCCGCGTTTTGAATTATTCAAATCGGTTGATCCGTGTTCCCGAAATCGTCGACGAAAATTTGTATCCGCACATACATACACACACATACATACATACATACACACACACACCACACATACACACACACACACACACACATACATCCATTTTTTTAAGGTATGCCAAAATGTTCAGAACCTCTGAAACGTAAAGATATATAAAAATTTTCATTTTCGATTTTTTTGCGATTACTATAACTTGCCCTACGGGAAGTTAATAAATAAACCTGATCATGTAAAAGTTTCGTAACGAAATATCTGTATATGGTAGCACACACAATACATATAAATATATAAATGATCAACTTTGATTTAACCAAAAATCAAAAATATTGCATACCTTGGATGTTCAGTTAGTTGTTTCAGTGTTTTTGGAAGACTATCTTTCAAATTAGCTAATTTCCTTGTCATCTCTCATAGAATATGATAAATCCATAAGATAATATAAATCTAGTGGATAATTTTTTGCTGGTCTATATATCATTTAAAACTTGTCTTTTCATCTGAAACCATTTTTTAAATATGAATTTAAGCTAGTTGTGTAGAGTATTGTGCCTTAACGCAGAAAAATGATGCTAGACTTTCTCGATTTATCAAGGTATATTAAATGATTATTTGATCTATTAGAAAATTATCTGTAAAACACAAAAAAAATTCAAAAATTTTTTCACGAGACCCCTGGTTTAACCCTTGGGACCCCCCTGAGAGGTTTTTCAAAATTTAACCCTCATTTTTGGGTCAATGCACGGGACTTCAGAATTCGTTTTAGAGGTATGGTTGTATCTTATTTTGATCCCTAGAATCCGAAAATTATATGTGCCTACGTGACCTTTAAATCTATCCGCCCTAATATATATATATATATATATATATATATATATATATACATATAAAACATTTTTTTTAAATTTTCAAAATTTTTTCCATGCTCTTTCCATACGAAGTTTGATTAAATTGCGCTCTATCTAAACGTTAATATTAAGAGCTAAAACTTTCAGAGATTTGTTTTTTTATCAATTTGAAACCATTTGAGCCCCTGGGAGCAAGGACATTCAAAAATGACCATTTTAAGGACCACCCTAATATATATATATATATATATATATATATATATATATATATATATATATATATATATATATATATATGAGCATTCTTTGCCAATTTTTATGTTTTCATATAATGTGTGTATTACTAGTACTTTGTGAAAAATGGGCTTACTTGGTCGTAATTTCAGTTCTAATCTTTGTGGTTTAATCTGCACTGCTTCAAAAATATTATCATGTTCCACAACATCTTTGAAATCATCATTCTTTAGAATAGTTACTGTACTCGATGCTAATCTAGAAAATTAAATATATTTACAATATGGTGTTCCAGAAAAGTATATTTAATTAATACTTTGTTTTGGTTCATACTGATTGATGTTGGAGCAATTTGCTTGTTTCAAACCTTCCAAAGTATTGCATCTTGCATATACAATTCCTACTTCATTTATAAATGGCTGTTGAATAGAAAACCATTATGTAATAATAGTCAAAATAATAATATCATAGCTATACTAGTTTTTTTTTAAGTTAAATGAAACATGTAGAAATTAAATCTACTTTTGGAAAATAAACAAACTTTCAATTTTATCTTTTGCAGTTTTCCATAGATAACTTATTCAACGTTATTCGTAAATATTTTGCATTAACATTTAACGTAATTCAAATAATTTCATGGCATGTTCCAATTTATATTATTTTTCACAATAGGTTTTACAAAAATGGCACGGTTTTCTCGTAAATTGTAAATTTCTTTAATAGTTGGTTATTAATATGCGTGTAAATTGGTACTTGTAATCATAATAGTACTTCTTAGTAGATTTTATTCTACACTAGGTATCATCGCATTAGCATAACATTTAATTGGCAATTTCGCATTTAGCAAAACAATTAAGTGAAAACCAATTCACTTTTGACGAATTTACCTCATCTGCACACCATGCGCATTCTGGTCCAGATTCTACACATTCCGAACATTTTGAATAGTAAATGCACGAACCTGAAATAAAATAACTTGCATTTGACAAAAAATATTTTAAATAAGAATTATGCATGCATATAAAAATGTTGAAAAAAATTACGCGTACAATTTGCGTATTTATTAACACAATTCTTTAAATAATATTTTAAATGCATTGATTTTTGATTATTCATTGCTTTATATTTGTTTCATAACATAATATTAATTTCTTTCGAAATTTCAAAAATATTCTACTAAATACAAAATTCCAAAAGGGTAATGGGGCTTGAAGGTCCGCGGATAAGAAGGTCCACCACCAATATCTCAAGAATAAGTAAAGTTAGGAATTTTTTAATGTGTAACCAGCCATCATGTTAATTTTAACGATGGTGTTATCGGCAATGTTTGAAAATCCATAACAAAAGTATTTTCTTTCGTTGTTAGTTTTTTTGGTTGTGATCCCTGTTGTTTAGTACGAGATCTTAATATAATTTTTAAATATACGTTATTCTTGTTTTATAGAAGGCATTGTTAAATTTAAGTTAGATTCAACAGTTTTTTACACAGCCTTTATGAAAACTTATACGTGGGTAGGGAAGGAAAGCGCAATTGAACCTTAATCCTGGCAAAGGTGTAAATAATAAAAAATAGTAAACAAAAAAGTAAATTAAGTTAAAAATCATTTTTAAAATACCACATCAAGGTTAATATATAGTATTATCTCTGAAAAAAATGTGGCCGTGGAATTTATATTTTGCGTTGTTTGAACAATTAGTCAAAACAGCAGAAATAACATATTTTTAAAATTTTGTTTCATATGTCTTGTTTACTGTGATATAATTAGTTTGGTTTTCACAATACAATTGCTCAAATTAGACCTTTGTGCACCGCCCTACCTCATATACAATAATTATTATTATCATTATTTTTATTATTATTAATGCACTATAAAACACATCTCAAACTCCTGCGTTTTGAAATTCAATTCTGTGAACTTTCTCTCCAACAACTTGATCAACTGCAATCATCCTCATAGCAATTCTTTTCTCACTTCCCTACTATTTTACCTCTGCTGACGACGTGCAGAAGTCACTTTTTCCCAATATAAGTGTCCAGTAAATTTCTTTTGTCCCTGTCCAGTAAATTTCTTTTTTCTTGCACTTTCTGTAGCAGTTGATTATTTGATATCTTGCGGAATCATCCATTTCCAGCACCACATCTGTAGGTTTATTTATTTCATTCATGTAAATATTGATAAATCGCGGTGATAATGGATTGTGAAGTCAATCAATGTCTCTATTTCGTATTGTCCAGCTATATTTTTGGTCTTCCTTAAAGTCTTGGTTTGAATCCTTATACGGTCATGCAAATTTTGTCTTTTATCAGTTTCTTCCTTGAGTCGAGATTCAGTTGAAAGCCGTTTTGACCATAATCATTTTTTGCATATATATTTTAAATTTCTGAACACAAATAAAAATTTAAGAGTTTTTTGTGCTAATGTGATGACACTTCTTAACAACGTGGCTTTTAAAAAAGCAACCCAACGGTTGACATATCTCTATTTGATATATTTTATCAGATTTTTTCTAATATTGATGATTTATTATTTGATGCAAAATACTTGGAAACAAATTATATCAATATTTTCAGGAAATTCTGATAACGCTACTGCTCGACTTCAACTGTCCTAAGTGGGTATCGAATCGGGAAACTTTCATGTATATACAAACACACCATATTTATATATATATATAAATTGTATCCAGGTTAGCTATAAGCTTTGTATTGTATACTATATACTTATATATAGTATATACAGATATGCTTGTATATAAACAAAATTGAATTGAACATCTAAAGCAACATAGTATCTACAATACTAGGTACTAGTAATTTTATGCATTTGATAGTAGTATTAAATATTGTTTCATTGCAAAACATATTACGGTACATTATTCTCTTTACCTTTATCCTTTATAATCATTTCATTAATTTACAAAACATGTTTTATTAACAGTACAAAAAAGAAATTCCAACATTTTAAATAAGTCTTTAACTCACCGATTGCACCATTATTATTCCAATATAAAATAAATATAAATAGTAGTTTATACATTTTCGCGACACATTTGTCAATGATCACCTGAATCAGAACTGGGTATATCTTTTGAAATCCATAAACTACTAAATCGTGTTCCACCTATAATTTTATCAGTCCGTAAACATGAAACATATCCACAGACAGATAACGTTATAGATAGCAATATTAAATGCATACAATAGTACAGTTAAGAACAATTTAAACGTCTATATCGTAAGTTCCGTACTAACTTCGCCGATTTTGCATAAACTATTTACAATAAATTCATAGTAGTCATCGAAGTGCAAAAATCTAAAATATTGAAAAATACCTATGCGACTAATATAACATATTTCCGCAATCAAATAAACTAGTTATAAGTATCATTTCGCCCAAACAATTGCAACTTGTGACATCGTGCCTTAAGGCAAATTGCTGGAACTTTCCGTACAGAAAATTAAAATTTCTAAAAAAAACCTTAAAATTTTTTGACAACTGAAAAAATGAGATTTTTAATAATTTTTAAATTCAAACAAATGGCTTATTTGCAAAATTTGATTTTTTTATATTTCAAGAATGTTAAACTCTTGTTTCAAAGCAATCATGCTGCGTAGGTGTTTTAGTGAAAAAATATCAAAGCGCGTAAGCGCCGCGTCGCAGTCTATCGAATAAACATTAGTACAAAACTCATAGAAATGTAAATTTACACTATTTACTATAAATGCAATTTATACTATTATCTGATAATTTGATGTGCATATGTCTAATGATCATTTTTGACCGCCAAATGGCATTTTTTATCATTTTTTTATTAGATCTCCGAAACCGATGAACCTGCCTTTCCAAAAATTTAATCAGTTCTTCGTTTATCAATGCAAATTTTGAATCATTAAAATCGGACGCTCCGTTCTCTCAAAAATTGAATTACCATTTTTGGAACTTTCACTTGCCTTTGCCGGAAATTAATCAGCACGTCTCCCCAATAATACAAATTGAATGCTTTTTGAATTATTGAAATCGGTTGATCCATGTTCAAGTCGTCGTCGAATTTGTACCCGCACACACACAAATTTTTTCTAAGGTATGTCAAAATGTTCAGAAACCTCTGAAACGTAAAGATGTGCAAGAAATTTCATTTTCTATTTTTTTGCGATTACTATAACTTAACCTACGGAAAATAAAAAAAAATTCTCGACATGTGTAAATAATTGGCATAATGAATAAAAATTTGCATGTTGCAACTTTTCAAATTTGCACGATAGAATTGTGAAATTTCGACCCAGCCTTATTGGTCATAATATTGTTCGTTAACCGCTATGAATACCATCATGATATCAATAGAAATAAAATGATGATAAAAATAAGTTTTATAATATCGTAAAAATTATCCACGTCAAATAATTTCGAGACAATGATCTGGCCGATCTTATCAGGACAATTCCTAATATTTTGGAACTGTGATTGAGTTCTTAAATTCGGTTCAGGATTTTTGGTACACACACTTAAAGAAAGTAAAAGAACTGCTCGGCAACTTTTTGCAAACAAAATACCTCAGTCTTCATCGAGTTCCATCGAAGGGCTTTTATAATTTTGAAGAAAACGTCGACAAAAAGAGAAATTTTGGTTTACATAACCAAACATACTTTTTTTTTCAATTTTAATATAATACAATTGTGAAAGACACTTACTGAAAATCAAACATGAAATTAGCTAATACTTTCTGACCAAAATATAAAGTTGTTATTATGCCTTATAAACAAATATTGGAATGCGCAAAATGTGCAAATTTGGTGAGGAATAAATAGATAACTCTGACTGAATAATCATCTCGGAGAATGATAATTTCAGCCTATTAAGGAAACAGTACAAAATATGTAATACGGAAATTTATGATATTGAAGCTATATTTCAAAAGTAAGCGAAATTTGTCTGAAAACATTATTCCATTTTTGATTGATATAGATACCGATTTAATTCTCTTTCTGTAAAAATGGCAATATATATGCAATAATTTGCAAAAAAAAATGAATTTATAATAAAAACAGTTGGGATTGAAAAAGTGGAAAATCTTGCTTTCTGAACTAAACATGAAAACTGGTTTGTTGAGCTAAACTTTGTAAACATTTCTAATACTATGTGCACAAATTTTTTTACTATAAATAATATACAATTGCCAAATATTTTTTTAATAGCTATAAAATAAAGGTGTTGAAAGAGAGAGGTAATTGTATTTAATAGACGATATTGCGCCTGAAAGTAATCACTTATGGCAAACATCTCTATTTTGAAATATGTAGTTCCATTTGCAGCATATATGGTGACCGCCCGAACACTATTAGTATGGTTTGCTTTAGCTTATTTGATGTAAGATTTAGATTTATGTAGATTTTTAATTTTAATTTGATTTAAACTGATAAAATCATAAAGGAATAAATAAGAATCTAAATAATTAGTGAATATTCCTGTAAATGCTCATTTAAAAATTAATAAATGCTCCGTCTGAAAATAGACTTGTTTCGGTTTCCAGTTCATTGTTCCTTGTTCGAATCTATTCATTAATTTTTTTGTTGATGATTCATGCATCAATTGTTTTCAAATTATGAGTACCTACAATCGAGTTTTTTTTCGGTTTCATAATCATGTTTCGAAAGATGTCTGTCGTAGTCCTTTCTCATATAAACTGTTCTACAAGTTTATATAAAAATATAGAACATAAAAATATTCGCAGAATAAATGTTGAATTCAAAATAATAATAATATACATATGTATAATTTTGTACCTAAAATATGAAAATTTTTATGAATCAGTTATCAGTTTTGTTAACAAGAACTATGTGTATAATATATTATACACATAATATACTCATATAGTATGTACATATATACCTGTGCCTGTATGTTCAATAATATTTTATATAAAAAGTCATATTATATTAAGAAATATACTGTCATTAGCATTTATTCTATTTATAAAGCACTTTTGCTTCAATTAATAAGTATTACAATCACTTATCTATGTACAATAGAAAAACGTTACATAGCAATAGCATAATCTACTATCTATTATAATAAAATTACTAATAAATTTATTAAAATTATAATTAGACTTCAACATCATTATTAAATTATCAATAATATTGTGTATTTTCGAGTAATGTTACAAATTAGTAAAATTGAGCTATCGAATTTACACCTCGAAACTACCATACCCATAATCTAGAAGTTATTAATGCTAACATGAAGTAAATTTAAATTATTCTATAGGAAATTCTTTTTCAATCTAATAATTTACTACAAAACATCAGACGTCGTTAACAAGCTCATATTAAACCTAAAAAAATTGTTTATTGCTAATAACAGAAAATTCGTCAATTGATATAAAATATTATCGATATAATTACATATTAAATTATGTATGGTAAATATGCATAACTTTAAATAATACTTTCTGTACACATGCTTATTACCTATTTTAATTGTGAATTGCTTCACAATATTAGGATTTAAAATAATTGATTTCAAAAAAAGTATATTTGATGATGATTAAAAATCCAAATCACAAATAAGGAGAGTGTCGTAACTTGTACCAAGAAAATTTCCTGGATTTGAATTTGAAAGTCTTAATTTAAACGAGTAAAATGTAGTAAAATAATAACACACAAATTTGAACAACATATACTGACTTATTTCCATGAATTACTACGAGTACCAGGATTTATGAAATACACTAAAAGAAAAATGTTAAATTATTCGCAACTTCAAACTTCGATGATTTTGTGTAGACTAATTACGCTGCCACAAAGCAATTAATAAATTCAAACATAAATCAGAAGATGGGAATGCACTTTGAAAACCATGAATAACCAACACAAAAAAATATTTTCTTACATTAAATAGCAAGTTCTAAAAATATTACAGTATATAAATATATAATGTAAAAGTGAATTAGAACTATTATTACTAAAATATATAATAAATAAACGTAATACAACGTAATTTGAAGGTCTTTCAACTTTTCACCGAGAATGTAGTGTGTGAAATTATCATTTAATAATAAAAAATGGCACCTTTGGAACTTGCACTTTGGAACGAAAAATTAACACCAACACATATTGTTGATATTTAATCTTTACGTTGATGTGTTTAAAAATAAATTTCAAAATACCTCAACAAAATCTCACAATGTATTAATCTCAACAGCTCTACATGACCGTTAATGGCCACTTCTCCAAAACAGCTTAATGCCAACACAGCCTTTATGATTATAATTGCGTTTGGGGTGGTGTGAGAGGCGACCAATCCGTTTGCTCTTGCTTGGCAGATTGAGTAGGAGAATTTTCGGCGACGTGCTGTTCCTGCTGAGGTTGGACATGTTCTTGAGACACTGCTCCTGCAGAACTGCACAAAGCCGATGAATGATATAGAGAAGCAGCAATCCGTGCCGAGTCGTTTCCTACGCCCTCGCCAGGCGAAGCGTAGTGTTCACCACTGGTTGCAAGAGATGGTAAATAGTCGCCAGTCTGTAAGTACATCAAAATACAAATTATTTTAAGGCAAAAATGGAATATTTGAGACCTATGTGATTTTTTAAGGCCATGGAATGATCCAATTTAACTCTTCGTCTACATTTCCAGTTTCAAAAATTGTAGTAGCTTGTTATGTATCAGTGAACATTTATCTTTTTATAAAGTGTCAGCAAAGCAATATTATATTTAAAAAAAACCCTTTACATATTTTGTCAATTCTAAAAAGTTAATTGACGTAGTAAGGAGCGTTCATTAATCAATAAGTGGGCCTTAAAGGGAGAGTTTGCCAATAATTACAAAATATCAAGTGAGAAAGGGGAGAGTCTAGAAAGATATCACGTGTCTTTATTTTTTACCTCAATTAAAAAAATCCAAAATTAAGAAAACAAACAAACATTTCACGATTTTTTTCTAGGTAGGGTGCGGTGGACAGACGTTGGCCACAGGTTGAAGTGGGCCACCAGAATAACTATAAGACTAGTGACATATATGTTGAACCGCGCACATATTTATCATATTTTGGAGGTTCATATTTT